TTCTTGTGCACTGCACTCCTCCTCAATGAGGTCTATCCACCTAGTTTCAAGTTCACGGTGAATATCCATATCGGTACCCTCTTTGCAAAATCTGCTGAAACGGTACCCTCTTTGTACATGCACAGGCCACTCTCTGCTCAAAACAAACTAGCGATAGATAACAAGCCAGTAAAAATTCATTGTAATAAGGAAAGGAGGTATGACACGTGGAAAAGATGTATACCACGGAACACTAGAATGTTTTATCTATGTGCTGATTTGTCAAGTGCCCGTTTTTCATGTACTGCAACTTCACAATAAGCTACAAACAAGATTGCATTTGAGACAAATGCTATGCCACCGCATGGTTCAAATTTCATAGCTGTACATCAAAGGACAAGAAAGTAAGTCACATCATCAAAATCTAGGTCACCTGATATCAAAGTTCAATTTTACAACTAAAACTGTGCACATGGTCAAAATGTCATTGCTGTACATCAAAGGACAATAAAGTAGGTCACTGTCCCCTTGGGCAAGGCATTATTTTGACCCAAGGGTTTAATTCAAAACACTTTTGATACAGGTCCACCAAACAACATTTCAAGTCAAATATCTAAGCTATAGCTTTCTCCCATTCTGAAAACATTTGTTTTATTTTCTGTTTTTACTATGTGTACATAATGAGAATCACTGCCCCCGGGCAGGGCCAATTTTGACACCAGGGGAAAATTTTGAACAACTTTGGTAGAGGACCTATAAATGATATTATATATCAAACATCAAAGCTCTATGCCTTGTACCTTCAGACAAAAATATTTTTTATTTTTTCACTATATGTACATAATGAAAATCAATGACCCTCGGGGCGGAACCAATTTTGACCCCAGGGCTATAATTTGAACAATCTTGCAAGAGGTTCACTACACAATGTTTCATTCAAAATATCTTAACTCTAGCCTTTGTAAATTTAGAGAAGATGATTTTTTAACTTTTTACTATATACATATAAGGAAAACCTATGGCCACCGGGGACGGGGCTAATTTTGACACAAGAGGCTAAATTTGAATAACTTTTGTAGAGTACCTTTAGATGATATAATTTAACAAATATTAAAGCTCTAAGCCTTGTACCTTCAGACAATAAGATTTATTTATTTTTTACTATATGTATATATTGAAATCAATGACCCAAAGGGCGGGGGCAATTTTGACCCCAGGGCTATAATTTGAACAATCTTGCTAGAGGTTTACTACACAATGTTTCATGCAAAATATCTAACCTCTAGCATTTGTCAATTGCTAGAAGAATTTTTTTTGAAGTTTTACTATATGTTTTTTTCTATGTACATATAGTGAAAATCAATGACCCGGGCGGGGCTGATTTTGACCCCAGGGCTATAATTTGAACAATCTGGGTAGAGGTCTACCAGACAATGCCTTATGCAAAATATATAAGCTCTAGGCCTTTTGGGTTTTTACAAGAAGGTATTTTAAGTTTTTAATATATGTACATAGTGAAAATCAATGACCCCCGGGGCGGGGCCAATTTTGACCCCAGGGCTATAATTTGAACAATCTTGTTAGAGGTCTACCAGACAATGCCTTATGCAAAATATCTAAGCTCTAGACCTTTTGGGTCTTTACAAGAAGATTTTTAAAATTTATTCTTATAGTTCCTTTTGGTTGCCATGGCAACCAGATTTCTGCATGGAATGAAATTCTTTGAACAACTTTGGAAGCCCTTCACCCAAGGAACAATCCTGCCAAGTTTGGTTGAAATTGGACTAGTGGTTTTTCACAAGAAGATTTTTTAAGTTCACTATATAATCTATATAACACACACACAAACACACACACAAACACACGCACACACACACAGGTGAATCGCTATATGCCACCGCAACACAAATGCTGCGGTGGCATAAAAATCGACATGTCTTACCTCGCCCATCACCTCGACATATTTTTCGGGATTGAAATGAACCTGTGGCCTGATTATATATGCATCATACATATTTACTATGTTCATTTACATATCATCTTCGGACAAATGGCAGTACATTGTCAAAAATAAATGTAAAATTCATAAAAACACCCTACTTTCGGTTTTGCAGCGGCACGGGCTACCTCTCTTCATTTGAATTTTTATATCACAGGTACCCTCTCATTTTTAAACACACATAGGTACACTCAATGCACGACATATTCTTTTATTAGCGTTAATCGTTAAGTATGAAATATTTACATAAAAGTAAGAAATATTACATACCTAACGATTAACGCAAATAAAAGCGTATGTCGTGCATTGAGGCTACCTATGTGTCTGTGTAAAAGAGGGTACCTGTGATATAAAAGTTCAAATGAAGAGAGGTAGCCCGTGCCGCTGCAAAACCGAAAGTAGGGTGTTTTTATGAATTTTACATTTATTTTTGACAATGTACTGCCATTTGCCCGAAGATGATATGTAAATGAACATATTGAATATGTATGATGCATATATAATCAAGCCACAGGTTCATTTCAGCCCCGAAAATATTTCGAGGTGATGGGCGAAGCAAGACATGTCGATTTTTTGTAGCTTATTGTGAATTTGTAGTACATGAAAAACGGGCACATGACAAATCAGCACATAGATAAAACATTCTAGTGTTCCGTGGTATACATCTTTTCTACGTGTCATACCTTCTTTCCTTATTATATTGAAATTTTACCGTATGGTTATCAATCGCAGGTTTGTTTTTAGCAGAGAGTGGCCTGTGCATGTGCAAAGAGGGTACCGTTTCAGCAGATTTTGCAAAGAGGGTACCGATATGGATATGCACTGTGAAGTTGATAACTGAAATACTTTTTGAGATATGCTCTGGACAAAAATGTCGGACGGACGGACAGACTGAAGGCCCGAAGGTCGGAGACTATTACTATATCTGGCGGGGGATTATAAGAATCTTATACCGGCTGCCGGTACAGACCATAATATCTAACTCGAGGGTAACTGTTTACAGCAGTAACGAGGCTCTGTCGAGTTTCCGCTAAACAGTTTCCCTAGAGCTAGATATTCCAGTCTGTACCAACAGCCGGTGTTTGATTCTTTTTCTTGCATATTACATGTCAATTATTTTCGGAACAAAATTTATGAAAACTGATATTCTCATTACGCACTTTTTTCTTATTGTAGCGTATGAGCATACAACTTCATTCATAACGGAAAAATGACGTCATCATAAGAACGCCATTCATTCATAAAAGGCGTGCGTCAATGACGTCAATTAAAGCAGGATACATGGGGGGGTGTAAGACAGTTTTCTAGCACCGGTGTAAACGGTAGATAATCCTGTCTGAGATGCAAGAAAATAAAGTGCTACATTTCATACCATTAATATAAGACATCTTTGAAGCTTTCTAAAAAAGCCATTCACTGTTTTGTATCATAATCCTTCAAAAACATTAGATACTTATTGGCAGCGTTCTTATATGGAATGGTTTGACAGGAAGTTATCAGGTTGGAGCAGTTTTAGGACACGCTCCTGTTATTGAAACAGGTAAATAAATTATGCTTAAGGTTTTCAAACTAGAGGATGCTTTTGTAAAAAAGCGCATGTCTCCCCCACTGCTGAGAATAACTGTGAATGGAAACAGGAATGGAAATGGAGATAAAAGAACAGAGTATATAAAACCAGACAACTGATATATCACTGATATATCAATAATAGTTAAATGTCCTCACTGATAAGAACTCTAGTTATCATCCGGAAATGAGAAAATGACCAATGGTCACTGTGACCTTAACCTTTGACCTACTGACCCCATAAACAAGAGGGATCATCTGCTCAATAAGACCAATCATCCTATGAAGTTTGAGGGTTGTAGGTCTAAAGGAACTCTAGTTATCATCCGGAAAGGAGAAATTAACCAACGGTCGCTGTGACCTTGACCTTTGACCTACTGACCATTAAAACAATAGGGATCATTTGATTAATAAGACCAATCATCCTATGAAGTTTGAGGGTTGTAGGTCAAAAGGAACTCTAGTTATCATCCGGAAATGAGAAATTGACCAACGGTCACTGTGACCTTGACCTTTGACCTACTGACCCCAAAAACAATAGGGATCATCTGCTCTATAAGACCAATCATCCTATGAAGTTTGAGGGCTGTAGGTCAAAAGGAACTCTAGTTATCATCCGGAAACGAGAAATTGACCAACGGTCACTGTGACCTTGACCTTTGAACTACTGACCCCAAAAACAATAGGGATCATCTGCTCTATAAGACCAATCATCCTATGAAGTTTGAGGTCTGTAGGTCAAAAGGAACTCTAGTTATCATCCGGAAACGAGAAATTGACCAACGGTCACTGTGACCTTGACCTTTGACCTACTGACCCCAAAAACAATAGGGATCATCTGCTCTATAAGACCAATCATCCTATGAAGTTTGAGGGCTGTAGGTCAAAAGGAACTCTAGTTATCATCCGGAAACGAGAAATTGACCAACGGTCACTGTGACCTTGACCTTTGAACTACTGACCCCAAAACAATAGGGATCATCTGCTCAATAAGACCAATCATCCTATGAAGTTTGAGGTCTGTAGGTCTAAAGGAACTCTAGTTATCATCCGGAAACGAGAAATTGACCAACGGTCAGTGTGACCTTGACCTTTGACCTACTGACCCCAAAAACAATAGGGATCATCAGCTCTATAAGACCAATCATCCTATGAAGTTTGAGGGCTGTAGGTCAAAAGGAACTCTAGTTATCATCCGGAAACGAGAAATTGACCAACGGTCACTGTGACCTTGACCTTTGAACTACTGACCCCAAAAACAATAGGGATCATCTGCTCAATAAGACCATTCATCCTATGAAGTTTGAGAGCTGTAGGTCAAAAGGAACTCTAGTTATCGTCCGGAAACGAAGAATGGACGGACGGACTGACGGACGGACGGACTGACGGACGGACAGGGCAAAAACAATATGTCTCCCCCCGAGGTGGGGGAGACATAATTACACACTGCTTATCATCAATTTATTAACTATAAATATTTGTAAATTTCTGTGCAGCTTTTATGTCATCTGAGCCTTAAATACTCTGAACGAGCCCTTTGCTTTTGTCTGTAAGAGGCAGCATTATTCCATATTGCTAATTTACTATATATGAGATGCTTACAAAATCATAATATTTGTTCTTCTGTTGAATAAAGAAGGCCAAAAACAACGTTACAGATCTTAATAGTATGTGCAACCTATGTGAATACAAGAGCGATCAGGGATCACGTGTCGCCTCATGATGGCCATTTTCATGTTGGGACATGTTTTGTGACAGACTGACAGACGGACAGTGCACAACTGGACTTGGTACTGATCATTCCTGTAAAGTTTGGATAAAATTGCACCAGTAGTTTATGAGTAGTAGTCCGGACAAGCTTTTGTGTATCTGGCAATACACAGGAAAAAAACACCTTTTTATCAAAGGGCCATAACTCGGCCAAAAATCATTCAACTGGAAAACACGTGCAATATGCGCAAGGACTTGAGCTACAGATCAATTCTGTAGTTTCATTGAAATTGCATTAGTGGTATAAGAGTAGTCCGGACAAACTAAAAATTATTAAAGGGCCAAAACTCTGACAAAAATCATTGAACCGAAAAATGCTGACAATATGCACAACTAGACTTGGTACTAATCATTCCTGTAAAGTTTGGATGAAATTGCACCAGTTGTTTATGAGGAGTAGTCCGGACAAGCTTTTGTGTATCTGCCAACACAGAAAAAAACACCTTTTTATCAAAGGGCTATAACTCGGCCAAAAATCATTCAACCGGAAAACCCATGCAATATGCGCAAGGACTTGAGCTACAGCTCAATCCTGTAAAATTTCATTGAAATTGACTAAGTAATATAAGAGAAGTAGTCCGGACAAACTTTAAAAATAAAAATTATTAAAGGGCCATAACTCTGACAAAAATCATTGAACCGGAAAATGCTGACAATATACACAACTAGACTTGGTACTGATCATTCCTGTAAAGTTTGAATGAAATTGCACCAGTAGTTTATGAGGAGTAGTCCGGACAAGTTTTGTGACGGACGGACAGACAGACAACGGAGAAGTGATCCCTGTATGTCGCCACTACTCCATAGAGGCGACACAAAAATGAACAGAAACTGCATATAATTGGAACTTTTCAAAGTCCAAGGGGCAAAACCAGGTCAATATTTGCTCGATTGTACCCAAAACAGAACTTGACCTCGATATTCCTATGGTAAATCTATGAACCATAATTTCGTTCCAGTATGTGTAAAATAGACGGAAACTGTTTGTGCACATATAGACAGCAGCAAAGTTATATGTTATAATATATAAATGTTATACTTAGTGAATGTATATGCATTTTGATATTTTTTATTCATACATAAAACATCATTATTTAACATAAAATACTTTTTTTTGTATATTTTAGCAACCATTGGGTATACTTGGGCAATATTTGGGTATTTAGTGCTGCTCCGTACAGTCCTGTTATGCTAACTTAACCCATTTGCGCCTGTTGTCTACTTTTGTAGACACTAGCAGTTATCAGTACACTAGGACCTAATTATGAGCGCACATTTGTTTATCATTGTTATTCTATACTTGTTGTCATGATAAGCGTTAATTGGACTATTTTGCTAGACAAAATGCAGACCACTACGTTATTTGCAGTGTGTTTTCAACAAGAATGTGATAAAAATTGCCTTGAAAATATTATTGAAAATGGCTAGCAGAAACAGGTATGTAAAACTTTATATTGTTTTTATTTTATATCATAAAGTATGATTGTTTTATATTGTATAATTATATTTCTGCTCAATTCCTGTTTTATAATTCAGAAATATGTATAAAATGTGTTATGACAGTCAATTTAGATTTTGTCTACAAAAGTAGACAATAGGATCAAATGGGTACGTTTTATCATTATGAAAATATTTTGTTGTTTACAGAAGATACACAGTAAATGAAATTATATCAATGCTTGAGGATGAAGGTAACTTTGAAAGGGCAGATATACATGTTCAACCACCTCCTGTAGATGAACTGACAGATGAAGATAGTGCAAGTGAAGATGAAGAAGTAGGTTACAACAACCTCAGTGGAAGTCAGTTAGACAAACAAGCAACAGCGACAGTTATTCGCCTAGATGGACGTCATGTTGTTGATTCAGCATCAGACTCCGATCTAGTTAGTAATAAATAAATAAAATAAATAAATAAAATAAATAAATAATAAATAGATAAATAAATAAATACGAAGCAAGTAAGTAAATAATGTACAGTAAATCCAGTTGAGAATAAGATTTTTTATATTTATCATATTTTATTTTTCAGGAAACTGACCATTCTTCAGATTCTTCTGATACAGATGAATACGAAGTGCCTGCAAATATTGCAAAAAGACCTCAAGTAAGAATTACACTACGGGATCCAGCTCCGCGTCCCAAACGACATGCACCAGTAAAGAGGAAGTGGGAAAATAAAGATCTACCTGAGCAAGATAAAGACAGATTCACTTGGCATGGCTCAAATATAGACAAAAGTCGATGGCCGCAAACACCAGATGGCATCTTCAACTTATTTTTTGATGATGACGTGATCAACATGATTGTTGAACAGAGTATAAGATATGCTGGTTCAAAAGGCAACCATTCGTTTTCAACTTCACCCCAAGAAATTAGGATCTTCCTAGCAATTCTGCTTATATCAGGCTATAACACTGTGCCAAGACGGAGACAGTTCTGGAGCCGGGATGATGTCGTAAGGAATGAGGCAATAGCTCGTACAATGCCGCGAGACAGATTCGACATATTGGTGCGATATGTACATCTTTGCGATAACAACAATCTTGACAGAGAGGACAAGTTTAGCAAAGTAAGACCACTGCTATGTCTGCTGAATGAGCGCTTCTTGTTATACTTCTTGAAAGAGAAAAACCTTTCAATCGACGAAAGCATGATCCCGTACTATGGGCGACACGGAGCGAAACAGTTTATTCGTGGGAAACCAATTAGGTTCGGTTATAAGATGTGGGCGTTAACGACAGCACTTGGATATGTTTTACAATTTGAGCCCTATCAAGGGGCAAAAGGCCATCAAACCCATGATCCTGGCTTCCTTGAAAAGGGCGGAGCAGTAGTTATGGACCTGCTTTCAGAGCTGCATAAAGATGATGCATACCATCTGACTTTTGATAATCTATTTACTTCCCTGAAGCTCGTGGACCGGCTTACAGATATGGGAATATCTTGCACAGGAACCATCCGTGCCAACCGAATAGAAGATTGTCCTGTCAAAAATGTAAAAGACAAGGGAAAAACACAACGAGGAAACTATGATAAAAGGTATGACGCACACAAATGTCTGATAGTGGTGAGGTGGAATGACAACAATATAGTGAATGTGGTGTCAAATTGCCATGGAGTTGAACCATTGCAACAAGCAACACGGTGGTCAAAGCAGGCAAAAGCTAGGGTGCCCCTTCCGCAGCCATACCTTATAAAGCATTACAACCAGACAATGGGAGGTGTGGACAGGATGGATCAAAATGTTGAGAAGTATCGTATCTCTATCAGATCCAAGAAGTGGTGGTGGCCAGTGTTTATGTATTGCATTGACCTTGCGGTGCAGCAAACCTGGCACATTTACCGTGCTACTGATTCAGGATTGAGGCAACCATTAGATCTGTTAGGTGTCAGACGAGCTCTGGTTACTGTGCTGCTTGCTCAGGGGTGTACACCTGCTGTCAGCCCTGGCAGACCAAGAGGTAGGATGAGGCCATTGTCAAGAAGAATTCCAGACAATATCCGACTTGATGGTAAAAATCATTACACAGAGCCAGCAAAAGAAGTGCGCTGTTCATTGTGTGGAAAAAAATGCAGGACACAATGTTCCAAATGTAATGTTGGAGTGCACAGGAAATGCTTTGAAATGTTTCACAGTGTTTAGGTATTCATACGATCAAAGCCAAAAGACATGAACAATAATAATTCATATTCAGAATGAATTTCAGTGTGAACACTTCTGTGCCTAATGTCTACTTTTGTAGGAAAAGTAATAGAAAACATTGCCTGTATAAACTTTAAGGATTTTTTCAAGTAAAAGTTATCAAATAAACCAACAATAGGTTATCTGGACATATATTCTATATGTGTTTTACATATACCCATTTGCGCCTGTTGTCTACTTTTGTAGACAAAATATTAAAACACTAAAATAAAAAATAAAGTACTTATATTTGAAAAATAAATGGATATATGTTATAACTATATGGTTACTATATGTTTTATACATTTCTTATATAAAAATAAAATTCCGGCACAAATGGGTTAAAGTTCTAGATGTTCATGAGTTACTTTAACTAGCCTATACACCCTGTTGATAGTAATTTAGACATTAATTGAATTTTGGCATCTAGTTTGTTTTTTTATTGAAGTTTGTGTTACAATATAAAGAGAAATAGTTATGTTCGTTAACTTGGCATAATATAAATACTTGATACCATCTGTAAAACTATTTAGAAATGATAAATGTTCATCCGTAAAATTATTTAGAAATGATAAATGTTAACATTCTTTGTGAAAATCGAATGTCAGACATGTAAATACTTAATTTGTCATTTAATTATTTGTTATTGAAAAATGCCTTATTCATGTTTTTCCAGAAAAATCTTAATTTGTAACCTTCTTTTCTTTATTAGTATGGCCCAAAGACAGAACAATGAAAGAGTGTCGGAACTGGAGGAGAAAGTGCGTGAAATGCGCATGTTGAATGCACGACTGCATACCAAAGTTTATAGGTTGGAAGAAGAGATAAGGAGAATGAATGAGCGTTTGACTGGCATGGGGCAGAAAGTTACAGCATGCCAGAAAGAGAAGAAAGAGTTGAGGGAGGAGCTAGAGAGAATGAAGCGAATAGTAGATGTAAGTGTAAAAAGAATTTTGAATATCAGCAAAATGCTTTTAAGCAATTCATTTTTCCATTCCATTCAATGCAATACCCACTTTATGAACAGAGAATATTGATGTTTTTTCATTAGCTTCACCCTTTTTTATCCTGAAACGTTAAGTATCAGGTATACAAAAATCTTATGATGCATGTTTTACATTATTACTAGTTATAATTACTAGTATATTACTGTTCAGTTGTATTTTTGTGTACGAAGTATTTGACGGAAGGAAATGTTATAATTAAATATATCAATTTTGCAGGAATATGAAGTAGAAATGGAGACTGATGAGAAGAAAGAAACAGCAAGTTGCAGTATGGAAGGAGAAGGGAAGGAGTTGGTATGTACTGGAATGGAGACAGAGGAGATGAAAGATGATAAGATGGAGGAGGAGCAGAGTTGAGCAGAGTAAAGAAAAATTGTAGTTTAGATGTTAAAGTAATTAGATATTAGATTAGATAAACCTTTGTAAAAATTTTTTGTATTTAACTACATAAGGTTTCTTATGATATATATTTTGCTTTTGACTTTTTTAGTAAAAATTTGCTGATTATATGTATACTCAAATTACATAATTAACATTTAAGACCAACATAGTGTATTGGCGAACAGCATGGATCCAGACCAGCCTGCGCATCCGCGTAGTCTCAGTTTCTATACTTGTAATAGGGTTTGTAAGTGAACAGCATGGATCCTGACTAGACGACTAGACAGCACAGTTGCAAAGGCTGGTCTGGATCCATGCTGGTCGCAAACCCATTATGTTGGTTTGTCATGACACGGCTTAAATATTTTTATTTCAAAGCATTTTATTTATGTCTACAATGTTTTTCTTGAGTACAGTTTTATTCTTCATTATACAAAAGCCAAATACCTTTTCTGTAACAGAACCTTTTTGTGTACAGTGTTTCTTATATATATATAATGGTTTCATAACTGAATGCTTATTGACATTAAATGAAACTTAATAACGATAACAACAAGCAATTATCATAGTATTGCAAGCAATCCATAAGTCCCCTACCGGTTAGAACCCTATCAACATTCTGAAGGGCCATTGGCCATTCACTAATGTTTCAATTTCTCTATATTTTAAGTAAATTTGTTGGAAAAGTTCTTTAAAAGTGATCACAGGAAACAGTTTTTATGAACAGACAGACAGACGGACTGAAGGACACTCTAAAGTTAATATTTGAAACATCCCTGTTACCAAAATATAACATTTTTAAAAGCAAAATTCTTAAAGAGGAGATAACTCTTGAATTAAAGATGCAATTTCATAAAAAAATTTCAGCTCTTTTTGACTATTCACAAATAATGTTATATTTGCCATGTTTTAAGCCTATTTGTTGCCAAGGCAACCAATATTTTTTCAAAATAGGGAGAACAGATAAGACATGCATAATCTCAAGACTACCATCTACCCATATGTCAAGTTTCATAAAAATATTTCCAGTACTTTTTGAGTTATCACTGGATTCAGTGTATGAGTAAAATTTGCCATATTTTCAGTCTATGTGTTGCCATAGCCACCAGAATTTTCAACATAGGAAGAAAAGAAAAAGACGTGCATATTCTCCAGACTGCCATCTACCCATATTACAAGTTTCATAAAAATATTTCTATTACTTTTTGCGTTAACACAGGATCCAGTTTATGTGTAAAATTTGCCATATTTTCAGTCTATTTGTTGCCATAGCAACCAGAATTTTTAACATAGGAAGAAAAGAAAAAGACGTGCATAATCTCCAGACTGCCATCTATCCATATATCAAGTTTCATAAAAATATTTTCAGTACTTTTCAAGTTATCGCGGGATCCAGTTTTGTGGACGGACGGACTGATGGACTGACAGACAGACAGACGGACAGACAGACAGACGGACGGAGGGTAAACCTAAAGTCCCCTCCGGTAAACCGGTAGGGGACTAACAACAGAAATATCTTTCTTTCATTTTATTCTGAAAGCTTCATCACAACCTTAAGAAATAAATAAATAGACCATTCATGTAAACAAAAATTTTAAATAATATGGAATGAAAACATCTGAAAATTGATAATTGCTTTACACAACAAAGTTCATTTTTTTCTGTAAATAGCTAAGAATTTGATATGCAAACAAAATGTTTTCTGAAAGAGTTATTTGTAAGACTAAATTTGTTTGTATGTAATTATGTTACTTACCTGTATAGCAGAGTTATTCATTTCCTTTTAAGTGTTATTTATCCTTTCTGCTACAGATACATCTTAAATATGTAAAATGTATGTCTTGCTTTCAGTTTGTTGCTAATATTTAATGGTAGTAGTGTTTTTGTAGCCTCCAATTTCTTGTCATAGGTAGAATTAATATTCAAGTAAAGGCCATCATGGCCCTCTTGTTTATTTAAGAAATAATATATCCCAAACAGTGATTTTATTGCTCAATAACATCACTGTTTGGAGTTCGGTTGCGAGGAATTATCTATGCTACGCCCTCGTGATATAATGATGCGCATCCAAACGACAAACAGTGATGTTATCAAGCGATAAAATCACTGATTTGGATATATTATTTCGATTCTAACACGACATCAACAAATAAATGTTGCCGTACTTGATAGTTAAGCAAAATTGTGCCTGATTTGTTTCCGTACTTATTTTCAGCGCGTCAAATTTTTAGTGGTTACGTCACATGTATAATGATTACGTCACATGTCTAAATATAGAACGTCAAACTGTGCATCTGTTGCATAATAACACACACTTTCATTTCTTCTATGTTTTCTCTTTGACTGCAGTTTTGAAATGATGACAGACAGTATTATTAACCTTTACATTAAACATATATTTTTAGATATATATTTTTCATCTAATCATAAATTATATTATCATAGTAGTATATTATCATACCAGCAGTCCAACGCGTCGCACCATCACCTGCTGGCATGGAAAATAAAATAAGTTTAAAAGATGATTTGTTGAACACTTCCCCACTGCCTGAATCACCAAAATTACCAAAAGTGTTGGAAGAATTATTAAACAGTCCATCTCTTTCGTTCAGTCTGTCCACTATGTTGAAAGAATCACCTGCACCACTAGACGCATCCTTTGTCAGAAGCTCCAATCCATCCACTTTTTCCACCGAAACCGATTGAGTCTACACCGCAGAAGCCACTAGATCCCCGGATATTATTCAAAGATGCACCATCAACTTTTCTTAATGACAGTATGTCGAAAATTGCACAATTGCAAAGGCTTGGGTGATATAAAATCTTGACAGGTAATATATCCTTATATATCACTCCAAAACCAAAATAACATATAATATCTGATACTTATTAAAGAATTAAAGAAGCAGGTAAAGTAGAAAACCACCACATAGTCTTTTATGACTAGGTTAACTCATGGCGGTCAAGGTCAAGAAAAGTAAGTCCTTCCTTACATGGCTCTGACAGATCCTGACAGTCATGGTCCAGGAGCCAAAGTCAGTCCTTTCGTGACAGTAGATTTAGGATGTCCTCAACACTTTGGCACTATTCTAGATCAAGGAGCAGAAGCCCATGTTTGAATGACAGTCAAAGATATAGTCAGATCCCATTTTGTGGCAGCTGAACCAAGTCTAAAAGTTTCCCATTTCGCAAGAACATCTTTGCATAAGATCTGTAATGGTTCCCCTTCCCACAAAAATTGACAACACAAAAGTTACTGATGTGTCTCATAAGGTTGCCACATGACCACATCTGCGAAAGTTTCTAATTTTCACTATTAACATGTTTTAAATGTTGGATTCTACTTAAATTTTAGATTCTACTAAAGTGTGACTACATTAATGGTTAATATGTGCACATGCATGTGCTTATATAATAAAATATAGTAGTACATAAGCCCATATTTTAGTTTCCATGTATCCATGTTATTCAGCTATCATATCTATTTTAAGTGGTAAATAATGTATACCTCTATAAAACAAAATTTTGAAGACTGCAGTCTATATTTATTAAAGAAGTTGGTGGTTTATTCTA